AGGTAGGAATACACTTATTTATTATATTCAAATATCTTTGTGATCTGTCAAGAAAACACTACTCGTAAACACTGACAGCAAGATACACACACACACACACACACACACACACACACACACACACACACACACACACACACACACACACACACACACACACACACACACACACACACACACACACACACACACACACACACACACACACACACACACACACACACACACACACACACACACACAGGCCCGGCACCATCACAGACATGATGCACTTTAATGCTACGATGTGTGTGATCTTAGATAGTAATTCAAATGTATTAAATATATCCTACGTCAAATACTCTGCATGTGTTGTACAGACTTTTGTGGTTTGTGATTGGCCCACATTCAGACCAATCAGGAATTGAGCAGCACTAAACTTGTAGAAGCCGAGTATGTTGTGTTTGAACTGTTTCTTTGCACACCATTGAAGGCTCTATACGCCCAGAGGTGATGGGAAATGGACCATTAATACACTCCTCACCTCCTTCCACAAGACCCTGGTAGCCATGCCAAGTGTCATGGGGGCATTTAAGTCTGCCTTAACTTCCGGGGTCTCCACTGCAGAATGTGGGACCCTGGAAAGCATCAAGCAGTAGGGAGATGGTTTGCATGTGGAATAAACATCTTGGTGCTTACTCTGTATTCTGTGTTTGCTGCTCGGTCAGCGGTTGCCCAAGTTGAAGGCCCGAGCAAAGCTGCTTTGTTTAGTTCTTGTGAGTGTGTGCCTTGCTCCTGAGTGCTGTGTTCCCAGTGATCGTGCCGCCGTGCACACGGAGTTTCAAACAGGGTTTCTATGCTGCTCTTTATTTCTGTGTCTCTACGCACTGATGTTGGCCATGCTGCTGATCTTATCTACATGACGGGTTAGTGGGTCCTCACATGCCCTCTCTGTAGACACACACACACACACACACACACACACACACACACACACACACACACACACACACACACACACACACACACACACACACACACACCACACACACACACACACACACACACACACACACACACACACACACACACACACACACCACACACACACACACACACACACACACACACACACACACAGACACACACACAGACCACACACACACACACACACACTCACACACACACACACACACACACTCACACACACACACACACACACACACACACACACACACACCACACACACACACACACACACACACACACACACACAGCAGATTTGTATTCTATTTTCTTTGGGTAAATATATATTTTATTGATCTCCCCTTCATCGTCTTTATCTTCAGACTTTAAGAGTTGTTTTCTCCGGAGGCCGCGCTGACGCAGAGAGCGTGTCTTTAGAGAGTGGGTCGTGTTGTGCAATAGCTCCCTGTCCTTATCGCTGGTGGTGTGTGTGTGTGTGTGTGTGTGTGTGTGTGTGTGTGTGTGTGTGTGTGTGTGTGTGTGTGTGTGTGTGTGTGTGTGTGTGTGTGTGTGTGTGTGTGTGTGTGGTTGGGATGTGCTTAAGTGCATGTTTTTTTATAATAACTTGTAACTTTGATCAGATCAGATGAAGACACGTCATCAGTTGCATAATCAGCAGAAACTACAGAAAGAGTTTGTTTTCAACAAGGGTGTAACTTTGGTTTGAGAAGTGGGGGGGCACAAAACAGGGGTCCTCCCCAATGAGACATTTTCTCTATTTCATTCCATTTCCTGCCTTTCTACAAATACATTAGGGACTATGGTGTTAACAAGGCCAAGCAGAGTGTGTAGTGTATATGATGAGAGTGCAGATGGATCTAGTGTCCTCTCCATGTGAACCTGATGTGTTTCTTTACATTGAAGCTGAAGCATCAATCTGGTGATTACTCACACACACACACACACACACACACACACACACACACACACACACACACACACACACACACACACACACACACACACACACACACACTATACCAGGTCATATTAAAACAGGTACGGGTCAGTTAGTTAACGTCTGCAGTTAGTGATAGGGGAGTGAGGCGTTCAGGTGACAGCAGAAGGTGGGAACTGGCAGCATCCTCTGTGGTTCCTCCTAATGTAATTGTTGCTGTAGAACATGTGTCAGTGTGATGATGGTGCTCCATGACTCATTTGAACTGAAGGAGCATATTCTCTAAACTGAACTGTTGCTTTAACTCTGAATATGTGACTTCTCTGTATGAACGTGTTATTCTCAGCTTTAGTAAACTGGTGAAATGACTCCAGAGTGAGTTCACTGACGTGTTCCTGAGATGATAGAAAACTCTGTTTACCTTATCTTCTGATTTCTCCTCAGGACTCCAGGCTGAAGGAGAACACAACTCAACAGGTAAAGTGCTCAGTGTATTCACCCTGTTACTCTTTAAGTGATTACAGTCTGTAAACAACCTTTATCATAAAGCATGATGTAGTTTAAAGACTTCACCACTAGCTGATCCTAGTTTCATCATTTATGATTCTACCATGTTTGTGAAACCAGGATATACTTCAAAGGTAAACAACAAACCATCATCACCTTTTCATCACCACCACTTTTCATGATTATACTTTATAAATACCATCAGATCATCACATTGAAAAGGAATCTAACTTCGATACAACCAACGTTAATATCTAGGCCGTCTCCGATACCGAGCTCCGGTGTTGATAAGGCTCCGGTGAACGGCCGTCCAATCTTTTTAGGACTAAACCCCCCAGAATCTACACGCAAGATCAACGTAACCTGCTTAGGGGGGCGTCTACAGCGTGGCCTCTAACACCAAACTGCCCGTCGTATCCCTAGTTTAGGCACTCCAGCCTCGGATGTCCGACCGCTAGGATAGCAAAACGGAGTGTATAGTGTAGTAGGTGTTGGTGGGCTGGTAGAACCCCAGAGCTGTATCTAAACTGCGTCTGGAGGGGAAACCCTGTGTCGTTGGGAGACTCCTTGGTAATTAGGGCAGCTTCAGGACCCTCAATCCCTAACCCCCAATTTGGATCCCCTTATACTAATTAAAACAATGCAAAAGTAAAATCAAACACAGCCAGAGTCAAACATTAATATCACAGCAGTGACATTACCACATCAGCAGAGCATATGTCATATTTCAACATCAATCAAAACCACATTAACCAGTAACCAATGTGAAACTATAGTTTAACCTTAGCAGAGTTTCTATTCCCCTTAAACAATTTAAAATCCAAATGATCAACTAATGTCAGCCTTTTCCAAGGAAGGGTGTTCTTACCTCACTCTAAGCCCAAGCAGATACCTTCAGAGACCACCAGAGAGACCAGGAGTTGGGTCGAAATGTACGAAAGTACAAACCGGTTTTATTAAGGTTTTAACAAAAATAGCAGATTTACAAGAATCCAAAAAATAACAAAAGACACAAAGTCAAAATACAAAAGCAACAGGATCACAAGTCAAATGTCCTCAAAAAGCCTTCTTTACCTTCACCATCTGCACCTCTTCAAAAGCGTGTTCACTATGTGTCAGGCCCAGCATGGTGTTTGACTCCTTGAAAACGCTTACCTGAAACAGTCAAGCAGAAGACAAATGTAATCAAAATTTGATTTCAAAATAATACATAAAAGTCAAAAGCTAATTCTTGTCAAAGTTTAAAAAGCAAACTTATCTCGAAACAATTGAATATTATCATAATGTCACACAAAAATAAAAGAATATAATGATTAACAATCATGTATATCAGAAAACATAGATATGCACCACTGAGTATAGAAGTGGGTTTAAACAACACAAAGCTAAATGGCTTAACAGCATTATCACAAGTAGTCAGAACATGTATAGTAACATGATGTTTAAAATAAATCAAGATACTCTGCACTTTTCACGGCACAATGTCAGCAGGTCAGGTCCACAGCATTTCTGGAGCCCTCTCTCATCTGTGGCCCGTCTGGTCAGCTGCTGCTAAAAGATTAGTTTGGTGGCACAGAAGTCCTAGACTTCTTAGCCGGAGGAGGAGAGGTAGACCCTTCCCCAAGCTCCCTAGGACTAATGTCAAAATAATCTTCTAAATGTTCTGTAACATACCAGCGAGGTGGTTCCCTGTTATCCCCGCGGAGTCTCAGTGAGAGACCCGTCCTAGATGCTGGCAACAAATGATCAGATAATCTGAACTAAACACCTGAAACTATCGCCACAGCTAGAATAATAAGAAAAGCCAAAAGTCCCCACTTAGCTTTATTGAAAGCATAGAACATGTTTAGCCGTAAATCATTCACAAATGTCTTCTTAGTTTGACCAAAAACAGAATGCATTGGATCCTATATTGAACTAGCAGACAAAACTGCTCTGAACAGAAAAAGTCAGATGGGACTCGCAGGTCCTTCATTTCTCCCCATCCCACGTGCAACGACTTTGTCCCTTTTTACTGGAGATTTGTAATAAGATGCAAATGTAATCTTAAGTCAAATCTACTATACGTCAGTAAGTCAAATGTACTTACAAAAACTGAGTGTGACAGTAAAGTTGACTTAAGTGCCTTTAGTAACAAACACTTCTTAACTGTAAGTAGAAGCTACTTGAAATATACGTTGTTACATGTACTTAGGTTTTCTGAGTGCGTTTTCTTACCTGGATTTTCCTAAATCTTACTCCTCGTTTCTGTCAGTGTAACCTGGAACTCCTTTTGTTGAATACATGTGATGTAGTAGTATTATAAAACCATATACTCCAGTAAAGTAATTCAAACCTGTACTTACAGTACTTGAGTATATGTACTTTATTACTTCCCACCACTGGTTTATAGAGAGCTGGAGTTAATGATCTGATTATCACTCGGAAGTATTAATAGAATAAATGATTAATTATTAAAATATGCTGATATCAATGAAGGACACGACTCTCTTGTTTCTCTCCAGAGCCTGGTGTTAGGCTGGTGGGAGGAGAGAGTCGCTGTGCAGGAGACCTGGAGGTGGAACATCAGGGAGAATGGAGACCAGTGAGGGGCTATCTCTGGAACCCTGAAGGCAGCAGGAGTCGTCTGCAGAGAGCTGGACTGTGGCTCTGCTGTTTCTGTGGGAAAGAGAGAGGAGTCCTCAGAGAGACCTGTGTGGATGATCAGCTCTGTCTGTGCTCAGTCTGGATCTGCTCTGAGGGAGTGTGCAGCACCAGATTCCTCTAAAGACATCCTGAATCTCACCTGCTCAGGTAAACCCATCAGTGACATCATCTGTGACATCATCAGTGACATCATCTGTGACATCATCTGTGACATCATCTGTGACATCATCTGTGACATCATCTGTGACATCATCTGTGACATCATCAGTGACATCATCTGTGACATCATCTGTGACATCATCAATTAGATTTTTATTTTTTATTTTGTCCTTTTTACTATTTAAAAATACCCAAATAAGAAATGATGAACAGTATATGAAGCAGCCGGGCGTAGTGGGTGGGCTACTGGCTCTATAGGCCCACCCACTCATTCATCAACATTCACTGGGAGAAAATATAGTTTACCGGATTTTTATTTTTGATTATCAAAATGAATAATTCATAAATAAAATAATAGCAAAAATAAGTTTCCCTTTAAAAAATGCATACAATTAGAAGCAACATGTATTAACGTAATCAGGCTTCTGTTGTGTGAGATGTTCTATCCAATCACAACAGGCCAACGTGAAATGGCCTGTTGTGATTGGCCTACATAGCTCACATAGTCGAAGCGCGGCGCCAACACAACGTAGGACGTCCCACAGACCCCGCAGAGGAAGGAGGAAAATATAGCACTCATTTACAGAGTCACAAGAATCCATGTTCAGAGTTTTCAAAAGAGTGAGAGGGGAGAGGCCAGAGCCATCGTCCTCACAGCAGGGGCCGTCTAGAGGCCAGAGCCATCGTCCTCACAGCAGGGGCCGTCTAGAGGCCAGAACCATCATCCTCACAGCAGGGGCCGTCTAGAGGCCAGAACCATCATCCTCACAGCAGGGGCCGTCTAGAGGCCAGAGCCATCACCCTCACAGCAGGGGCCGTCTAGAGGCCAGAACCATCATCCTCACAGCAGGGGCCGTCTAGAGGCCAGAACCATCATCCTCACAGCAGGGGCCGTCTAGAGGCCAGAGCCATCACCCTCACAGCAGGGGCCGTCTAGAGGCCAGAACCATCGTCCTCACAGCAGGGGCCGTCTAGAGGCCAGAACCATCATCCTCACAGCAGGGGCCGTCTAGAGGCCAGAACCATCATCCTCCCAGCAGGGGCCGTCTAGAGGCCAGAACCATCATCCTCACAGCAGGGGCCGTCTAGAGGCCAGAACCATCATCCTCACAGCAGGGGCCGTCTAGAGGCCAGAGCCATCACCCTCACAGCAGGGGCCGTCTAGAGGCCAGAACCATCGTCCTCACAGCAGGGGCCGTCTAGAGGCCAGAACCATCATCCTCACAGCAGGGGCCGTCTAGAGGCCAGAACCTCATCCTCCCAGCAGGGCCGTCTAGAGGCCAGAACCATCATCCTCACAGCAGGGGCCGTCTAGAGGCCAGAACCATCATCCTCACAGCAGGGGCCGTCTAGAGGCCAGAACCATCATCCTCACAGCAGGGGCCGTCTAGAGGCCAGAACCATCATCCTCACAGCAGGGGCCGTCTAGAGGCCAGAACCATCATCCTCACAGCAGGGTCCGTCTAGAGGCCAGAACCATCATCCTCACAGCAGGGGCCGTCTAGAGGCCAGAGCCATCATCCTCACAGCAGGGGCCGTCTAGAGGCCAGAACCATCATCCTCACAGCAGGGGCTGACTAGAGGCCAGAACCATCATCCTCACAGCAGGGGCCGTCTAGAGGCCAGAACCACCATCCTCACAGCAGGGGCCGTCTAGAGGCCAGAACCATCATCCTCACAGCAGGGGCCTTCTAGAGGCCAGAACCATCATCCTCACAGCAGGGGCCGTCTAGAGACCAGAACCATCATCCTCACAGCAGGGGCCGTCTAGAGGCCAGAACCACCATCCTCACAGCAGGGGCCGTCTAGAGGCCAGAACCATCATCCTCACAGCAGGGGCCGTCTAGAGGCCAGAACCATCATCCTCACAGCAGGGGCTGACTAGAGGCCAGAACCATCATCCTCACAGCAGGGGCCGTCTAGAGGCCAGAACCATCATCCTCACAGCAGGGGCCGTCTAGAGGCCAGAACCACCATCCTCACAGCAGGGGCCGTCTAGAGGCCAGAACCATCATCCTCACAGCAGGGGCCGTCTAGAGGCCAGAACCATCATCCTCACAGCAGGGGCCGTCTAGAGGCCAGAGCCATCATCCTCACAGCAGGGGCCGTCTAGAGGCCAGAACCACCATCCTCACAGCAGGGGCCGTCTAGAGGCCAGAACCACCATCCTCACAGCAGGGGCCGTCTAGAGGCCAGAACCACCATCCTCACAGCAGGGGCCGTCTAGAGGCCAGAGCCATCGTCCTCACAGCAGGGGCCGTCTAGAGGCCAGAACCACCATCCTCACAGCAGGGGCCGTCTAGAGGCCAGAACCATCATCCTCACAGCAGGGGCCGTCTAGAAGCCAGAACCATCATCCTCACAGCAGGGGCCGTCTAGAGGCCAGAACCATCATCCTCACAGCAGGGGCTGACTAGAGGCCAGAACCATCATCCTCACAGCAGGGGCCGTCTAGAGGCCAGAACCATCATCCTCACAGCAGGGGCCGTCTCACTCCAGATTCTGCCTCTCTGCTTTCTGTGTCTCTAAAATGTATCAATGTAATGTGAACCAAAAGAAATGAACAAGCAGTGTTACATTTCATTTCACTCCTTGCAGCCTGGAGCACGGCTGATATGAAGAGTCATGAAACCCACCGGGTTATTTGGAGCCTCCACCTCTAGAATGATACAATTCACCATTTAATGGAAAACACGAGATCAATAAACAAACAGCAGCTTGAATTCAATGATGACGCCATATTTAAGAACAAGGTGTTTACAAACATCAGTCAGATAACACATGTGAAACACACATGTGAGAGTAAAGAATGAAACCTTTTGAAAGTGTGTGTGTGAGAGCAGAGGTGGAGCTGAGCAGAAGGAGCAGAGGGTCTGCAGAGGAGGATGCTTTGTTGAAGACACAGGGGAAGGGTTCACTAATGGAGACCACGTGCTAGAGGGTATCAGATGTAGATGTGAGGGTACCTGCAGTCTGTGTTCTTATCAACATGTGTTCTGTTGTTCATCATCAACTCATGTTGGAACTGAGTCCAGTTTGAATCTGAAATATAGTTTCATCTCTTTGATGGTGTGTCTTTGACCTCTGTTTGACCTTCTGTCCTCTGCAGACTCTGTCAGGCTGCTGGGGGGGACTGGTCTGTGCTCAGGCAGACTGGAGGTGAAGTCTGACCAGTCTAACCAGTCTAACCCGTCCTGGTCCTCAGTGTGTGAGGCTGACTTTGACCAGCAGGATGCTCAGGTGGTCTGCCGGCAGCTGGGCTGTGGGGCTCCTTCAGTCCTCCAGGGGGCGCTCTATGGAGAAGGGGAGGCTCCAATGTGGACCAAAGAGTTCCAGTGTGGAGGCCATGAGTCTGCTCTCCTGGACTGTAGCTCAGCCTCAGAGAGAAACACCTGCTCACCTGGCACAGCTGTTAGCCTCACCTGCTCAGGTAGAGAGGAGCTGTGATTGGTTCATTCTGTTCTCATCAAACTCACTTTATTCTCTCTCTGATCACTCTCTTGTTTCTCTCCAGAGCCTGATGAGGTCAGACTGGTGGGAGGAGAGAGTCGCTGTGCAGGAGACCTGGAGGTGAAACATCAGGGAGAATGGAGACCAGTGAGGGGCTCTGACTCTTTCTGGACCCTGAAGGCAGCAGGAGTCGCCTGCAGAGAGCTCAACTGTGGCTCTGCTGTTTCTGTGGTACAGAGAGAGGAGTCCTCAAGGAGACCTGTGTGGAGGATCAGCTCTCTCTGTGCTGAGTCTGGATCTCCTCTGAGGGAGTGTGCAGCATCATCTTCCTCTCTCTACTTCCTGACTCTCACCTGCTCAGGTAAGCCCATCAGTGACATTGTTTATGACATCATGTCCTCTTTGTTAGTCTCTCTCTCTCTCTCTCTCTCTGACAAAGAGACTATCCCTCTCTGCTAGTTTGACCAAAAACAGAATGCATTGGATCCTATATTGAACTAGCAGACCAAACTGCTCTGAACAGAAAAAGTCAGATGGGACTCGCAGGTCCTTCATTTCTCCCCATCCCACGTGCAACGACTTTGTCCCTTTTTACTGGAGATTTGTAATAAGATGCAAATGTAATCTTAAGTCAAATCTACTATACGTCAGTAAGTCAAATGTACTTACAAAAACTGAGTGTGACAGTAAAGTTGACTTAAGTGCCTTTAGTAACAAACACTTCTTAACTGTAAGTAGAAGCTACTTGAAATATACGTTGTTACATGTACTTAGGTTTTCTGAGTGCGTTTTCTTACCTGGATTTTCCTAAATCTTACTCCCCGTTTCTGTCAGTGTAACCTGGAACTCCTTTTGTTGAATACATGTGATGGAGTAGTATTATACAACCATATACTCCAGTAAAGTCATTCAAACCTGTACTTACAGTACTTGAGTATATGTACTTTATTACTTCCCACCACTGGTTTATAGAGAGCTGGAGTTAATGATCTGATTATCACTCGGAAGTATTAATAGAATAAATGATTAATTATTAAAATATGCTGATATCAATGAAGGACACGACTCTCTTGTTTCTCTCCAGATCCTGGTGTTAGGCTGGTGGGAGGAGAGAGTCGCTGTGCAGGAGACCTGGAGCTGGAACATCTGGGAGAATGGAGACCAGTGGTGGACTACTCTCTCAGGACCCTGAAGGCAGCAGGAGTCGCCTGCAGAGAGCTAGACTGTGGCTCTGCTGTTTCTGTGGGAGAGAGAGAGGAGTCCTCAAGGAGACCTGTGTGGTTCATCAGATCTGACTGTGTTGAGTCTGGATCTGCTCTGAGGGAGTGTGCAGCATCAGCTTCCTCTGACTCCTTCCTGAATCTCACCTGTTCAGGTAAGCCCATCAGGGACATTGTTGATGACATCATGTCCTCTGTCTCTTTGTTAGTCTCTCTCTCTCTCTCTCTCTCTCTCTCTCTCTCTCTCCTCTCTCTCTCTCTCTCTCTCTCTATCTCTCTCTCTCTATCTCTCTCTCTCTCTCTCTCCCTCTCTCTCTCTCTAGGCTGTGACATGCGCTCACATATTTCGCTGCTTCTATGCTGCTGGCACTATTTTCTCCAAGTACATGTTGCATTTTATTCTGGTCAGACAGTGATTCAAAATCTTGGAGTTTACATGTTATCTTTGTAAAGAACTTTGTTCTAATGTCTTGGTTTGTTTGACAGTGCAGCAGGAAGTGTTGCTCTGTCTCCCCCGTCTCTCTCTCACCTGTCTCTCTCTCACCTGTCTCTCTCTCACCTGTCTCTCTCTCTCTGTCTGTCTCTCACTGTCTGTCTCCACCTGTCTCTCTCTCACCTGTCTCTCTCTCACCTGTCTGTCTCCACCTGTCTCTCTCTCTCTGTCTGTCTCCACCTGTCTCTCTCTCTCTGTCTGTCTCTCTCTGTCTCTCTCTCACCTGTCTGTCTCTCTCTGTCTGTCTCCACCTGTCTGTCTCCACCTGTCTGTCTCCACCTGTCTCTCTCTCTCTGTCTGTCTCTCACTGTCTGTCTCCACCTGTCTCTCTCTCACCTGTCTCTCTCTCACCTGTCTCTCTCTCACCTGTCTCTCTCTCACCTGTCTCTCTCTCACCTGTCTGTCTCTCACCTGTCTCTCTCACCTGTCTCTCTCTCACCTGTCTCTCTCTCACCTGTCTCTCTCTCACCTGTCTCTCTCTCCTCTGTCTGTCTCTCACCTGTCTCTCTCCACCTGTCTCTCTCTCACCTGTCTCTCTCTCACCTGTCTCTCTCTCACCTGTCTCTCTCTCACCTGTCTCTCTCTCACCTGTTCTGTCTCCACCTGTCTCTCACCTGTCTCCTCTCACCTGTCTCTCTCTCTCTGTCTGTCTCTCACTGTCTGTCTCCACCTGTCTCTCTCTCACCTGTCTCTCTCCACCTGTCTGTCTCCACCTGTCTCTCTCTCACCTGTCTCTCTCTCACCTGTCTGTCTCTCACCTGTCTGTCTCTCACCTGTCTGTCTCCACCTGTCTCTGTGGACAGAGCTGACACAGCCTCTCTTCTCTAGCCAGGTCTGCCTGTGTCGGCCAGTCTCTAGGGCCAGGCTGTGGTCACTGAGTCTGTACATTGTTAATGTCTTCCTCAGTTTGGGATCAGTCACGGCGGTCAGATAGTTTGCCACCGTGTACTGTCTGTTTAGAGCCAAATAGCATTGAAGTTTGTTTGGGGATTGCGTGGTACATGTCCAATTAGTGATGTCATTTTCTTTTGCTTTAGCTATGATTTGGTTGGGCCAGATTGTGTGAGGGCTGTCCTGAGGCCTTGTGCTGTTAGAGGAGGTGAGCCTCAGCACCAGCTGGTTGAGGCCTTGTCCTGTTAGAGGAGGTGAGCCTCAGCACCAGCTGGTTGAGGCCTTGTCCTGTTAGAGGAGGTGAGCCTCAGCACCAGCTGGTTGAGGCCTTGTCCTGTTAGAGGAGGTGAGCCTCAGCACCAGCTGGTTGAGGCCTTGTCCTGTTAGAGGAGGTGAGCCTCAGGACCAGCTGGATGAGGCCTTGTCCTGTTAGAGGAGGTGAGCCTCAGGACCAGCTGGATGAGGCCTTGTCCTGTTAGAGGAGGTGAGCCTCAGGACCAGCTGGATGAGGCCTTGTCCTGTTAGAGGAGGTGAGCCTCAGGACCAGCTGGTTGAGGCCTTGTCCTGTTAGAGGAGGTGAGCCTCAGGACCAGCTGGTTGAGGCCTTGTCCTGTTAGAGGAGGTGAGCCTCAGCACCAGCTGGTTGAGGCCTTGTCCTGTTAGAGGAGGTGAGCCTCAGGACCAGCTGGTTGAGGCCTTGTCCTGTTAGAGGAGGTGAGCCTCAGGACCAGCTGGATGAGGCCTTGTCCTGTTAGAGGAGGTGAGCCTCAGCACCAGCTGGATGAGGCCTTGTCCTGTAGAGGAGGTGAGCCTCAGGCACCAGCTGGTTGAGGCCTTGTCCTGTAGAGGAGGTGAGCCTCAGGACCAGCTGGTTGAGGCCTTGTCCTGTTAGAGGAGGTGAACCTCAGGACCAGCTGGATGAGGCTTTGTCCTGTTAGAGGAGGGTGAGCCTCAGGACCAGCTGGTTGAGGCCTTGTCCTGTTAGAGGAGGTGAGCCTCAGGACCAGCTGGATGAGGCCTTGTCCTGTTAGAGGAGGTGAGCCTCAGGACCAGCTGGTTGAGGCCTTGTCCTGTTAGAGGAGGTGAGCCTCAGGACCAGCTGGTGAGGCCTTGTCCTGTAGAGGAGGTGAGCCTCAGGACCAGCTGGATGAGGCCTTGTCCTGTTAGAGGAGGTGAGGCCTCAGCACCAGCTGGATAGGCCTTGTCCTGTTAGAGGAGTTGAGCCTCAGACCAGCTGGTGAGGCCTTGTCCTGTTAGAGGAGGTGAGCCTCAGCACCAGCTGGTTGAGGCCTTGTCCTGTTAGAGGAGGTGAGCCTCAGCACCAGCTGGTTGAGGCCTTGTCCTGTTAGAGGAGGTGAGCCTCAGCACCAGCTGGATGAGGCCTTGTCCTGTTAGAGGAGGTGAGCCTCAGCACCAGCTGGTTGAGGCCTTGTCCTGTTAGAGGAGTTGAGCCTCAGCACCAGCTGGATGAGGCCTTGTCCTGTTAGAGGAGGTGAGTCTCAGCACCAGCTGGATGAGGCCTTGTCCTGTTAGAGGAGGTGAGCCTCAGCACCAGCTGGATGAGGCCTTGTCCTGTTAGAGGAGGTGAGCCTCAGGACGAGCTGGATGAGGCCTTGTCCTGTTAGAGGAGGTGAGCCTCAGCACCAGCTGGATGAGGCCTTGTCCTGTTAGAGGAGGTGAGCCTCAGGACCAGCTGGATGAGGCCTTGTCCTGTTAGAGGAGGTGAGCCTCAGGACCAGCTGGTTGAGGCCTTGTCCTGTTAGAGGAGGTGAGCCTCAGGACCAGCTGGTTGAGGGGACTCCTCTCTATGTTCTCCTCTTGGCAATGGAGGGCTTTGTAATGGTAGGAGTTGGGATCACTAGTTTTTAGGTGGTTGTAGAATTTGACTGCTCTTTTTTGTATCCTAATTAAAAGGGGGAATTGGCCTAGCTCAGCTCGGCATCCATTGTTGGGGGTGTTCCTGTGGACTCTCAGGATGCTCTTGCATATCTCCGCATGTAGGGTTTCTATTGGGTGTTTGTCCCATTTATCAAAGTCTTGATTTCCAAGAGGACCCCACACTTCGCTACCATACAGTATGATTGGTTCTATTATTGAATTGAATATTTTGAGCCAGATTCTAACAGGTATATCTATATTTGAAGACTTTTTGATAGCATAGAAAGCCTTTCTTCCTTTGTCTCTGAGATCATTAATGGCCAGATTGAAATTTCCTGTTGAAGTAATTTTGAGTCCCAAATATGTGTAGCTGTGTGTGTGTTCTATGTCAGTGGAGCCCAGTAAGAAGCGGTGTGGGTTCCCCTGACCCCTGGGTCGTTTCTGGAAAACCATAATCCTGGTCTTTTCCAGATGAACTGTCAGGGCCCAGGTCTGACAGAAGGTCTCCAGATGAACTGTCAGGGCCCAGGTCTGACAGAAGGTCTCCAGATGAACTGTCAGGGCCCAGGTCTGACAGAAGCTTTGCAGATGAACTGTCAGGGCCCAGGTCTGACAGAAGGTCTCCAGATGAACTGTCAGGGCCCAGGTCTGACAGAAGGTTTCCAGATGAACTGTCAGGGCCCAGGTCTGACAGAAGGTCTCCAGATGAACTGTCAGGGCCCAGGTCTGACAGAAGCTTTGCAGATGATCCATTTGCTGTTGTAATGGCTCCTTAGATGGAGCTAGCAATATTAGATCATCTGCAAACAGGAGGCATTTCATTTGTGTGTCAGAGAGGGTGAGTCCAGGGATATCGGATTGTTCTAATGATTTAGCCAATTGATCAATATAAAGGTTAAATAGGGTGGGGCTGAGACTGCAGCCCTGTTTCACCCCTCTACTTTGGGGGAAGACATCTGTTTCCATATTGACCATTTTCACAGCACATTTATTATTTGTATACATTGTTTTAATGATATCATATGTTTTCCCCCCTACACCGTTTTCAATCAACTTCAGGAACAGACCGTTATGCCAAATTGAGTCGAATGCTTTTTTGAAATCTACAAAACAAGAGAAAATCTTCTTATTTTGGTGGACATGTTTATGAATGAGGGTGTAGAGGGTATATATATGGTCTGTAGTCCGATGGTGTAAATCCAATCTGACTCTTGCTCAGGACATTATGTTCACTGAGGAAGTCTTGCAGTCGGCTGTTTAGGATGCTGCAGAATCACTTCCCCAGGTTGCTGCTGACACATATGCCTCGGTAATTGTTTGGGTCAAATTTATTTCCATTTTTAAATATTGGTGTGATGATTCCTTTGCTCCAGATGTCAGGGAAATGTCCAATGCTCAGAACCAGGTTGAATAGTTTCAACATGGCAGTGTTGAACTTATGGCTGCTAAATTTCAGCATTTCATTTAAAATGCCATCAGGACCGCTGGCCTTCCTTGGTTGTAGGGCCTGGGTTTTAGCCAGGAGCTCTTCCTCAGTAATGTCATAGTCTAAAGGGTTCTGGTTGTCTTTAACGACTGATTCTAGAATGTGTAGTTTGTTGAGGAGATCATTTTGGGCCGAATTCAGTGTAACGCTACTATACAGGTTTTCAAAGTGTGTTTTCCAAATGTCCCCATTTTGAATAGCCAGTTCTTCCTTGTGTGGTTTGCTGAAAGAGTGCCATCTCTTCCAGAAATGATTTGAGTCAATGGACTCTTCAATGATTTCAAGTTGGTGCTGCGCATGTTGCTCCCTTTTAGTTCTGAGTGTTCTTCTGTATAGTTTCAGTGTTTCCCAATATTGGAGGCGGACCTCAGGATTGTCAGGTTGTCTGTGTTTTTGATTTGATAAACGTCTGAGGGTTTTTCTCAGATGTCTGCAGTCTGTATCAAACCACTTTTCATTGGCTGACTTTTTTGATTTATGATATTGTGGTTTTTTCAGATTGGATAAATCTGCCACATTGTCAAAGATGCTGTTAATGTCCCATACAGCCTGATTCAGGCCATCATTACTGTGGGGATATGGGGTGGATAGAAAATGCTCTAATTGGGATTGAATTGTTTGATGTCTGATTGCTTTCTGGTAGTCGTCCTTGCTATTGTTTGTCCATCTATAAGGTTGTTTTGTATAGTTCAGTTTACTGGGTTCTGCTGCGTGAGGGTCTGTTACTGTCTTTTTAATGTAGAGTGTAATTTTACTATGATCAGATAAGGGTGTTAGGGGGCTGACTGTGAATGCCCTCAGACAGAAGGGGTCGAGGTCTGTGATGCTATAATCTACTGAACTATTGCCAAGAAGAGAGCTGTGTGTGTAGTGACCAAAGGAGTCCCCTCGAAGCCGACCGTTCACAATGTACAGGCCCTGCGTTCGGCACAGCTGCAGTAGTTGCTGCCCGCTTTTGTTGACAGTTTTGTCAAAGTTGTTCCTGTGGGGATGCGAAGGGAGGGGAATGCTGATTTGGCCAGGTATATGTTTGTCTCCCTGTGGGCTAATAGAATCTGGTTCTATACCTGTCCTGGCATTAAGGTCCCCACAGATCAGTACACTTCCCTGGGCCTGGTACTGATTGATCTCATCTTCAAGAATGGAGAAACTATTTTCACTATAACAAGGTGATTCTGATGGGGGGATATATGCTGTACACATGAATATGTCTTTATCCATGGCGAGCACCTCTCTTTTTATTTTGAGCCAAATAGAAAATTCACCTTTTTTGATTAGTTCTATTGAGTGTACAAGTGTGTCCTTGAGTGTACAAGTGTGTCCTTGAGTGTACAAGTGTGTCCTTGTACCAAATCAGCATTCCTCCTGAATCCCTGCCCTGGGTTACTCCTTTGAGTTTGGTGGATGGGAACACTATCTCTCTATAGCCTAAGGGACAACCAGTGGAAATGTCTCCTCTACTCCAGGTCTCCTGTAAAACAATCACATCTGCATCTCCTAACTCTTTGGTGAAGTCTGGGGTCCTGCTCTTCAGGCCAAAAGCAGAGGACCTCAGACCCTGGACATTCCAACATGAAATAATAAATGATCTAGATTGCATTTAACTTAAAACAGAGAAAGATTCAGAGCATTCAACATTAAAATGAGATAAACTCCCAAATCTCTGGTTGTCAATAAATAGATTAATTTAAGAACACATTAGATATATGGGATTTCAATATACGATAGATTTAACAATTTTACATAACATTTTTTTTTTTTTTGTTGTCTACTGGATGCAAGCAAGAAAACAAACAATGACTACTGATTGTCTACTGTGGTACCTGGCCTATCAGGTGGGAGCAGAGCAGGCTGAGCATCTGCTGGATGTCTCTCAGCTCGTCGTGTGGGGGGGTGTGGGTGGGTTCAGCGACATGGGTGGTGGTGGTAAGGGTTGGGCCTGCTGTTCTCTTCACTGCCTGAGCATAACTCAGTGGGTCAGGGTGTAGCTCCCGTCGCTGTGGTTGGGGTAGGACCCCTGGGGACAGGAGTGGTTCTGGCCTTGCTTGAGGGTAATCATAGCTGCCCTGGTGGGATCTTAGTGGGGCATGGTGTGGAAGAAGATGAGGATGATCTTGTCTCCATGGGTGTTGTCTGGGTGGTGGTCCAGTGGGGTGCCTTTCTGGTCTAAGGGGGTTTTGGGCCGGGCTGCTCCTTCTGCGGGGTGTGGATTGGTCTCTATTGAGAGCGACGTCTTTCAGTGTCCGGGCGAAGATGGGGACTGTGTTTTTATACAGATGGACGTGGTCGTATAGACAGTTGATATCCAGGGTGGGGTGGTGGGCCAGGTGGACGTTGGGCCTCAGGATACAGTCTCTGGACATGTTGCTGTTGACCCTGTGGATGGTGTCGGGGTGGAGGTCTTTCCTTGGTAGCAGGGTTGACATGACCACTCTGCTGTTGGGGAAGGTGGTGGAGGCTTTCTCTATCACTCCTCTGAGTGACTCTGACACTCTCTCTTGCTGGCTCCTCAGGTCGTTGGAGCCAGTGTGGATGATGATGTGGCTTGGGGATCCCAGCTGCTCCTCTGACAGCAGGTCCATGGCATGTTGGGTGTTTGGACACCAGATTTTAGCCACTGTGTGGGTGGGGAAAAGTTTATTTTCATCAATGAATTTGCCATTGGAGTCGATGAGGATGACAATGTCTGGCTTCCCTCTCTGCTGTGCTGGTCTGGAAGGATGAGGGGTGGTGTTAGTCTGTGGGCTAGGGGTGGTGTTCATCTGTGTGATGGGGGGAGATCTGGGAGTTGGGTTAGCATGTGGGCTAGAGATGGAGCTGGGGGTAGAGGGTGGCTGCTGAGTTGGAGGGTTCTGGCTGCTCTCAATGGGGGTCACAGGGTTCTGGTTGTGGTCTGGGTGTGAGTCCAGCTGCTCTTTCAGGGCCTGTGCAACTCTCTCTGTCTCCTGAAGCTCCTCAGATAGAGTAGTCAGTTCTCTCCTGTAGCTCTGTCTCTCTTCTCTCAGCTCCCTCACCTCCTCTGTCAGAGCGGTCAGCCGTGCCATGTGACTCTCTCTGTCCTGCTGCAGCTCTCGAACCTCAGTCCTCACGGTGGACAGCTCTCTCCTGTGGCTGTCTCTGTCCTGCCTCAGCTTGGTGAGCTCTGTGCTGATGGTAGAGTCTTGCTGGACCGTGGTGTCCTGGGTTGGCTGTTGGCTGATCAGCTCTCGCAACTGTACGAGCTCTCTCTCCAACTCTGTGAACTTCACCTTCAGGTCAGTG